AGTGCAATGGATCTATTAGTTGGTTACTAAATTCTAATGTGACTAATTATCTTGATCGGATTTCCTAGTACTAATAATTAATAAACAACTAACACAATGATCATATAATTAGCGAACACATACTTAATTTTATATATTCGGATTATGAATAATATGATCTAGCGATTTATCATCAATAGTTATGACAATCAATCGAAGCATATCATGGATACCTAAGCTCTCTAACACAGCCAAAGTCATAGATTAACATTACCTAAGCCTAGGATTTGATCAATCTCTAGTCCTAATAATTTAATGATCATAAGTTAATTACGATTCAAGTTAATGTAATTAGATTGGTCCTCTTAACTACACATAACTCAGCAATAGGCAATAAAAATCATAACTTTAACATGATAGGTGATGATTAATCAAACACAAATAATAACCAAACTTATAAAATCCAAAATTATTGAAATCAACACATAAAATCGAGTTTCATCTACTCCAAACAAAAAGAAACAAGTTTTAACACCTAAATTCAGAAAGTAAAAACACAAATAGAAACAAATCGAATGTTAATCATGGTCAGAGCAACAAACGAAATGACTCCTGTCATGAATCAGTTCTCGAATCCTTCATATCTTCGCTCCATATTAGCTTAACAACCCTACAGCCGCCTTCTAGACATTTAAAACGGATTCTCTGAGATTTATTTTCATAGGGAACAAATTAGGGTTAAAGATATGTCATTTGGGCTAATTTTCGACTCTATTTAAGGTTTACAACACCGCCATGGTGTGGAAATAGACTTGATACGTTTTAGGAGTTGGATTCATCATGTCCACAAAACTTTCTGATTTCTCCACACCGTGGAAATGGCTTTGCCATGGCGTGGGAACTGGGAATCAGAATTTGTCATAAACATGACAGTCGTTCGAAAATTTTATCTAGTTTCTGGAAAATTTAAAATCTCATGAATCGGACTTAACAGTCATGAGATATGAACAAAACACTAAAGAGATGTCAAGGTGGCATCAACATCATTTTTGCGTCTTTTTCAGCTCATTTCTCCTCCTTTTGCATCTCAGCTCCGGTTTTAACTGTAATTGAACATTTCAAAGCATATTAATTATCATATATCTTAAAATATAACATTTTTACTCAAATATATTAACATAATGACCTAAATCACATATTTAATAAAGATCATATCAAAATACCCCACACTATTCTTTTGCTTGTCCCTAAGCAAAAATAGATTCTTTATGGTTTCATTTTAATACCACACATTAAAACCTTGCTCACCAACATCATATAGAATAACCCAAATTGAATTCACTAATTATTATTCATCTCAATGCATATATTTGTGTCTAAAAGATCCTAAATAATTCCCAAATCCTAAATACTTACAATCCTCATAAACGTTCCCTACTTATTTTGAACAACATTCATTTGTGCATCCCTTCGAGTACATCCTAAGAAAACTTTCATAACATCAATGTATTTTTGTTAAGTTCCCAAGCATACATACTATAAAATTACAACTTTGATTACTATGCCCTTGGCTTTTGGCAATTTGTCTTATTTCTTTACTTTCTTCAAGATATTCATAATTTGATTGTTTTTATTCACTAAAACACCTTTTACAACTTTTTCTATTTTTTTCTATTTTTTCTTTTTTTTCACGTTTTTTTTTTTTTCATAAGTCTGTTTTTTTTCTCTCAAACTAAAACCTAAAAGCAAAACATATGCTTAAGCAAAGGAACTTAACCTCAACCTTTATTGATTAAAGGTATTAGTGTAAAGTGCAATGACTACATATATTTTCCTGGATACATATCAAGTACATGATGCAAATTATATTATGACCCTCAAACTACACAGGTTCACGTTTTTGTCTCATTATTTCACTACAACCAGTAAACCACAAATATATTTTAACAAATTGGCTTAACAAAACCTTTCAATTTGCATCAAATTATCACGCATAACACTAGACAACCTTAGCTCTAACGCAATAATATTAAAACAAATAGTTTTAAAATGTACTAGATCTTTTATGTTAGACCATTTTTCAAGTCATTATTTTTCATTTTATATATATATATATTATATATATATATATATATATATATATATATATATATATATATATATATATATATAGCATGGTTGTTGTCATTTTTTTCAATTCCCTACCCCACACTAAAATTATACAATCCCCTCATTGTATATAATAAAATTAAAACATATAAAATAAAAGAGGAAGAAAATGAAAGAACTCGCCTTAGGTATGTAGTCGCGAGAACGGAATCGATTGTAGTGAGTTGCTTTGAAATGTGTGTTGGAATGATGATGCTTCGGATTTTGCTGGAAACTGAAAACCAGATATGTTTTACTTTTTTTGCTCATGTCGGACTAGGGGAACGATTGGCGAAAACATCATATAGCAGTACAAAACGTAAAATCGGGTAATCGTTTCTCGAGAATTTTCTTTCCATAAAAGATGTTTCCACGGCGTGGGTGTGCACATGCCATGACGTGGAAGCTGAATAGTGGATTTTGCGCGACTAAAAAATGAATTCGAGTTGTGTTGTCTAAACACTCATCATGTCTCTCATATATGCTCTTGTCTCTAGTAGTTGACTTTAATAATTGCCTCGATCCCTCTCTCTTGTGGGTAACCGACCCCATGTTTATGTGATGCAACGCCTCTCGTATAATATCTCTTGTAAAAAAACCACACTCGATCCTAATTGTTGAAATTGATGAAAACCTCCGAAGGGAAATAATTCTACAAATATCTGAACCATTAAGGCATCAACATGGAAAACAAAATTTAAGCCAACTAAAAATGAAATAAAAGTAAAAGTACAAAAACTAAAATCACACTAAAATATGTAAAAAGGATGTCACGATCACTCGTCTTCGTCGCAATCATGCTATAATTGTTGTTTAAATCCCTTGCGTGCAACAAGTGGTTTCTGAAAACAAAAACTTTCTGGACCGGTTAGGCTATTCCCTTTGCTTTCTTTTCTCCGTTAACTAATAAGTAGAACAAGAATTAACCCAACTAGTCATGAGTAGCAAGAGTTCGATCTTCCACTTAACCAATGCAATACACCTTGATATACTACGCCTCGGCTGTTGAGTTGCACAAATCACCAAAGTTGTAGACTAAACAAGTCAAAAATTCCCTAATCGCTTGCAATCACAAAATCCATGCAAAAAGAAAAACCAAGCAACTCATATGATCATAAATTCCTGCAAATAATAATAAAGCCATTCCCAACAAGTGACATGTTATCAAATAAAATAAAAACAAAACAAAACTTAAAATAAAAAAAACAAATGACGAATAATCACATAAACTAAATTAATTGAAAATCGTTCACCGGTAATAGCGCTAAAAACTTGATTGTGTATTTTTAATGCACTAATTTTTTTATTTGTAATTCCTAGTCTATCGCAACTAAACCACACCTTATAGGAAGTAAAAATGATCGAGTATAGAATAGTTTTGATAAGCAAGGGTGTCAAACTCAATGGAAACGGTAGTGAATTAATATTAGAATATTTAATTATAGGTTATACTAAATAAAAAAATCAATAAAATGTGGTTTTGATTATAAAACTCAAGTAAATCAATAGCTAAACTAACAAGATAAACTGGTTGGAAACAAATCACTTTATGTACTTTGGTTTAGTGTGGATTACTTCTCAAAATCATGGTTTGCTTCGTTAATAGTGCAATGGATCTATTATTTGGTTACTGAATTTGAATGTGACTAGTTATCTTGATCGGATTTCCTAGTACTACTAATTAATGAACAACTAGCACAATGATCATGTAATTAGTGAACACGTAATTAATTTAATATATTCAGATTATGAATGATATGATCTAGTGATTTCTCATCAATGGTCAGGACAATCATTCGAAGCAAAATATGGCTATCTAAGCTCTCTAACACAACCAAAGTTACGTATTAACATTACTTAAGAATAAGATTTGATCAATCTCTAGTCCTAATAGTTTAATGATCATAAACTAATTAAGATTCAAGTTAATGTAATTATATTGTTCCTCTTAACTACACGTAACTAAGAAATAGGCAATAAAATCCATAAATTTAACAGGTAGGTAATGATCATTCAAACATAATTAATAACCAAACTAATAAAATAAAAATAATAGAAATCAACACATAAAATCGAGTTTCATCTACTCCAAACGAAAGCAACAAGTTTTAACACCTAAATTCAGAAATTAAAGACTAAAATAGAAACAATTGAAATGCTAATCATGATCAGAACAACAATGCGAATGACTCATGTCATGAATCAACTCTCGAATCCTTCAAATCTTCGCTCCATATCAACTTCACGACCCTTCGGCCACCTTCTAAACCCTCAAAACGACTTCTCTGAGATTTATTTTAATAAGGAACGAATTAGGTTTGAAGATATGTCATTAGGGCTAATTTTCCGCTCTATTTATGGGTTACAGCACTGCCACAACATGGAAATAGACTTGCCACACCGTGGGAGTTGGATTCTTCATGTCCACGAAGCTTTCAGATGTCGCCACTTTGTGGAAATGGCTTTTCCACGGCGTGGGAACTAGGAATCGGAGTTTGGCTAAAACATGAAATTCGTTCGAAATTTTGTTTTGTTTCCGGAACATTTTGAATCCTGTCAATCGGAGTTACGAGTCATGGGATATGGCAAAAACACTGAAGAGTGGTCAAGCTATTAGCGACATCCTTTTTGCGTCTTTTTCATCTCTTTTCTCCTCCTTTTGCATCCTGCTCTGATTTTAACTGTAATTGAACATTTCAAAGCAGATTAAGTATCATATATCTTAAAATATTACATTTGTACTCAAATACATTAAGATAACGGCTTAAAATTAATTGTTAAATAAGGCACGTAGGGCCCTACAAAGAAAGAAACGGTAAGAAAACATAGCAAATTTACACCCCTAAGGGGTAGCACAAATGGAACCACCACAACTAGCCAAGAATATCCTTTCCTTTACCTCCATCGTTGTCTAAACTAGTAATCTTCATTCCACCACTGATACCCGATTCATCATTAGAATCGTATACATTTAGCTTCCTCAAACCCTCCACATCTAGCTCACCCAAGTGCAACTGGATCGCGTAGTCACAAGAAATGAAAGCATTAATGTTTTCCACGACTACCCTACTGCGGATTGAAGTAGAACTGGCAGTACCCATGCCAAACGTCCCAACAACAATCCCCTTCCGGAAACATTCACACCCAAACTCCTCACCAACAGTTGTTCTTAATCCACCCTATACCATGCAAAAACTCTGCAAGTTCAGATACCTTGTCCACCACCTTAACCACACCTTCCATCAATAACCAACCAAGGTCCCCATCCAATCGAGCGTTAGTTTCTTTCAACTTAGCAATCAGTTTCTCCTTATCGACCAACTCCCTCTCAAGAGTCTCAACACGGATGGTCAAAGCTTCATCCATCTGGGTAGCCACATCAAGCTTCAATTGTAAATCTTCCACTATTCCTCCACTACCGCCTTTTTAGACGTAAGCAGACCCAGCTGTTGATTGAAAGTATTTGCACTCTTCTCTAAAGAGACAATATGGCTCTATAGATCTTTTTCCTTGGCACACAAATCAGCATTAACGCCCTTCAGTAGGCGGACACGTCTCGCCCTGATAGATAGAAAATAGGAAGCATGTTCACAAGCATACTCAAGCTATCCCACTGTCTGATCATCTGAGGGCTCAATATCAGCGATGGACCCGTCGGGAAAAGCATGACGTGCAGACTCTAAACAATTCACCCTCACAGACAGGCGAGAATTGGCAGTCAAATTCCACCCTGAAGCAAACATATTAGGATGAGTATTTCCTCCATGACGAATATGAGAACTGCCTTGAAGAGTTGGAGCCCCATAACCAAAGGCAACCCTCTAAGGCTTTGGCTCCAATACCTCGACAACATGATCAGAATGAGAAATTCTACCAACGACAAGACGATCGATCACCTTAATAGTCCATTTAGACTATTGAACGTCCTCATCAGGGACTGTGATCAAATCCTCACCATAATGTCGAAGTCAGCATGAAGATTTGCAAAAACTTTTATCTTTTTCAGACGACCAGCGATAGGCAGTCCAGCCCCACCTCCAACAAAACTAAAAGCGTCCAATTGAGCCTTCCGCCTAACCAAGTGGTCACCGATTCCATAAAGGATCCCATCCTTACTATCCTTCACAGACTCAAAAACATTTGACTTGTCATGCTTAGACAAAGCAGTCACAGGTTCATTAAAAAGGACATCAGAAGGATTGTTAGTAGGATCCACAACATTAATCGGAAACCTCGTAGTGGAAATAGCCCTAGACTGCCGACGACCAAGCAGAGGGAGAGACTCAACCAAATTAGTCTCCCTAAACTAAAGATCTACTTCGAAATTCTTCCCTAAAAGTTCAACAAAACTCAGAACACTCTCAACCCATGCGATAATCACTCAGACAATAGCAAAAAATATAATCATACTAACACATGTAAAATCAGTCTCGGTACACATATAAAATATACACATATAATCATACTAACACATGCGATAATCACTTAGACAATAGCAAAAAATACAGTCATCGAGCCTTGCTCGACATCAATCCCCGCTCGGTATACATACCAACGCATAACACATGCAAGAGTCACGCAGACATCTAGAACCTACATAATAAACCATGGGCCAACATTGGTGCCTTCGACCTGCTAAAAATAGTGAGGAAAATCACCTCAGACTGTTGAATCTCACAGATAAATCTTTAGGTGCTGGTCCGAAAATCCCTGCGTTATCATCATAAAATAACATCCAATTATTATATGGATCCCAACTCATGCTAAGAGTCTATACTAGGGTAAAAGTCTATTTTACCCTTTACCTAACTTGGGCCAAGGCCAAAGCCCAAAACCAACTACTCAAAGAAGTCCAATTCTAAAAATGGTCACCCGAAGCCCAATTATCGCTCAATCTTCCAAATTAGGCCCAAATCCCTTCGTGGGCCTTCAAAAGAACCCAACATAATGACATCAGCCCAAAATAGAAGTCTGGTGGCCCAACAAGACCCTAATCTCCTAAGTTCCAACATGGGCCCGAAACCAAGAAGCCCAAAATCTGAAACCCACATGTTGAGTACGTGGGACGTACTCAACTCGTAGGCTCATCGTACACCCTCTGGGGATAGCACGCACATCGTACCAGCTTGGTACGTCCATCGTACTCCCTATTTGACCAACCCACTTCATTAAGCACTTAATCCATTGAGACTTCAAGCCAAACTCTCAGATCTGATTCCTTATGGTGACTTTTCACGTAAAGTTGGAAACCTTACATACATGCATGTCTTAATGGGGTTCAAGAGCTCAAAAAGGACTTAACCAAGGTTTTAACACATGCATGGTCCAAGATACATCATAAAACTTGCATTTTTATGAAAAATGGGACCAAAAGAAGCCTAGATCTAACACCATAACTTCTGGAGTGAGTCAAGAAGCTCATCAACCACTCCAAGGACTCAAAAAACATAGAATAACAACATAACTAGATCTAGCATCATGGATCATCAAGATGTGAGCTTTTTACCTCAAAAAGCTTGGAAATGATGAGCTAACCTTGAATCCTCAAGCTCAATACACTTCTCCAACTGGTCCTCTTCTTCTTCTCCTTCACAAATCACCAACAAACACTCTTTAAGGCTCAAAACTCACAAACACACGCTAGGGTATTGATTTCTGGACAAAGGAGGGTAGAGGCTGGCTAAACATAACCAAATGAGGCTATCATAAGGTTTAAATAGGGTGCAAACCCTAAAAATTAGGGTTTCATTAAAGCTCATGTACGTCATGGGTACTCCACGTATGCCCAGCATACGTGGATTGAATCCGCGATCATGAATCAGGCTAGTACGCTAAGCGTACCACCTAGTACGCCTCGCATACAAGCTTAAGGACCATATTGCAAACTTTTTAGATAAAAGATGTTAAATGAGAAACTTACCAACTCAAGTGTTACAATTCTCCCCTACTTGAATCAGACTTCGTCCTTAAAGTCCGCTGCTCCAAATAACTCTGGTCAAGAATCACCGCCGGTCTCTCAATATAATTCAGGCGTTCATCCACCTGAATATCTTCCAATGAAACCATTACGGAATCATTTACTAAACACTTTTGTAGCTGAGAGACATGGAATGTGCTATGGATCTGACTGAGGTCATATGGATGATCCAAGCGATATGCAACCCGGCCCACCCGAGCCAAAACCCTGAAAGGACCGATGTACCTGGGGCCCAGCTTGCCCCTCTTCCTGAGTCGGATGACACCTTTCCAAGGTGACACCTTCAGGAGAACCATATCCCCCACCTAGAACTCTATATCTGATTGGCGTCTATCGGCATAACTCTTCTGCCAACTCTGAGTTGTTTGGAGTCTACTATGAACCTGCTGAATCAACTCAGTGGTCTTTGTAACAACCCAAAACTTTGTCCATTTTCGTTACGCGAGTTTCGTTAATAAAATTTCAAATTTGTTAACTTTTCTGTCAAACTTTTTGGTTTAGAAAATAATGTAGTTATATTTAATTAAATTATTTACGAGTCGGAACCAAAAATCGCGCGGAAACCCAAAAATCTTGAAAAATCAACATTTCCGGTCTAAGTGATGATTACGACCTGTTTACGATCAGTGAAGAGTGGACCCCCCACAACATCCCTATAAATACGATGCCTCCACCTTCATTAGAACATTTCTGGCCAAAAACTCTCTCTTTCTCTCTCTAAGAACCTTAACCGTAAACACTCAAAACGCCTTTAAACTTCGGAATTCATCGAGAAACCACGTTTGAAGTCACTTGGGAACGCCTGGAAACGATTATCTCTTCGAAATCAGCAATCAGAACCATTTTTCTTGAGTTTACGGTCCACCTTCAAGAACCGTAAACCCTCTTCTTGAGTTTACGGTCCAACCTTCAGAAACCGTAAACTCTGTTCTTGAGTTTACGGTCCAAGCCTTCAAGAACCGTAAACTCCTCTTCGACCGTAAACACCTTTTAAGTGGTGTTTTTGACTGAAAACTCACCTTCTTCGATTCGACCAAGTCTCGGTAACATTCCTCAACCGAATTCAAGTGTACCTCTAACACGTTATCTAACGCAATCGCTAATTTAGATACATATACATATTTATTTGATAATAGGATTCCGTTAAGTGCCGCGTGCAACAACTCGAGGGTCTTCATTTCAGTCAACGATTTCACAACAAGAACTGTGAGTTCATACCCCTATATTTTCCGTATTTTTTAATGTTTTCAGGGGGGGAATACAAGCTAATCATAAATGTTTTCAAAACTTATGCAAATCTCATACTTTAACCCTTTTGTACTGTGTTGAGCATAAGGGACATTTTCACAAAAATTTGCATAGTTTTCCGGACACGCTATTCACTATACATGCAAAATATAATCGGTATAGTTTGGGATTTTCTAAACATCATGAGTACAAAAACTTTCACTATTAAACATATGCATGAAGACAGAAATAGTTTACAGTTACATCACCACTTTATCATGGCTTTTCATAACTGTAATTATCATTATATACGGTATACATACGGATTTTCACTACGGTAGAACGCTACTACACTACATGTAAACTAGATTGTACGATACTGTGAGGCGCTACTTCCCGAATGTACCCTTAGGTGTACAGGGATAAATCCTACCACTGTATAACCAGAGTCTCCTGGAGGGAGAGCGTGAGATTTGTGAATAGATCTATTCGGGTCTGACAATCCCACATCTGGACTGCTAGCAACAGTTAGGTGGGTACGCCTGAGATGTACAAATGTCATTTAACTCAACGCCTGAAGAACGTTGGAAAGGTCTCTAGTGATATCAAGCATGGTTATACGACTCACAATATGTATAAATCACCTTTAGTTTACAACTTAACACTCTTCAACAGTTTTATTTTTACTAAATAGAACTGATACACACTACGTAATCTGGCTAAGGCCACGGTTTTTCAAACAGAACCGATTATGCAATGGTTTCACATATAAAATACTTACACTTCATGATTAGTTTTAGCTAGTCACATGAGGTAGTATTCTCGCATATCACTACAGTTTTCAGTAACGAACGTTCATGGTTTTATACGAAATCGATAACGCTACCCTTTTCACTAAAGAAAATATCGGATTTTCTTGGAAACATACTGATATTCATGGTTTATTACAGAAATGATAACACTACGTTTTCACTAAGGAAAATATCGGATTTTCTTGAAACCATTCAAATATTTTCCGAACTCATCAACGATTTTCACTACAAACCACCGCTTATGAACTCACCAGCTTTATGCTGATACTCTTTTAAACTGCTTGTATTCTCAGGAAATTAGTAGACAGGTGCCTGCTGGGTTTTTGAAGAGTTGAAGCAATAAGAGTTTAATGTTATATTTATATAAGTTATATGATGTAATTCAAACAAGTTTCAGAATTGATGTAAACATTTTTACTTTATGTATTCACTGTAATGGTTGTGTTGCTATGATTGATGTTATTCATTGGTTGTGATGCTATACATGACGTCCTCTACCCCGGAACATTTCCGCCATCGGTTTCGGGGTGTGACAGATTGGTATCAGAGCCCTTGTTTATAGCGAACTAGTATACCGAACCTCACATGGTATACAACTATAAACACTAAGGGGCCTAAGTGCTCTACGCTAAAAGTATACTTTCAAAATATAAAGTATTTTTATAAAAAGTATACGAGCATGCATACATAACAAAATTCGTGTCGCTAGTAGAAAAGAACAAAAGTATTTGGATGCTGGAACATTGCGGTTAAACCTGGGCAGTTATGTAATCATGTCTAGGGTGAATATAGCCTGATCAACTATATTCAGTCGAGACATGACCAACATGTGCTTGGGAGTGACTGTGGTGTTACAGCAGGCCTAAAACTTACCAAACATCATCTCACATAAAAATACTATAGGAGTATTTTCGCTAGGGCCAAACTCAGTATATAGATTCACTCTAAGTGTTGCTACCTCTTCTTCCTTAAGCGATAACTTACTTGTATTAGTAACCTTTCTGTGTTTATCGCTCGGTAGAATACTTTCATTATCAGGATGAGATATATTTTGTTTTATATCTCGAGGACTTACCATCCTCTTCTCCCTGATTGTTTCTAGAACAAGATGCCTCCTCGACCAAGACCCATCAGAAGGAACGACGACACTCCGCCACCACCACCACCCCCTCAGTTCGACCCTGTCATGTTCCAGGCAGCAGTTGCCGCCGTGACTGCAGCAATGGCACAAGTGAATGCTGGTGGGGCTGGAGGTGGAACCGACCCACAAAGACAAGATGGAAGTCAGGGACATCAAAAGGAGTGTTCCTACAAGGACTTCCTGACTGCGAAACCTAAGTCCTTGGACGGAAATGGAGGTGCATCGCCCTAACTCGATGGTTCGAGAAGATCGAATCCATTTTCAAAATTTGCGTTTGTTCTGAAGCAAACAAGGTAAAGTTCGCCGCCTGCATCTTCACCGACCGAGCCTTGACCTGGTGGAATGGTCGAGTCAAAGCCCTAACCCTGCCAGTGGCTAATGCCATGGGTTGGGAAAGACTGAA